TAGTTAAGTATAGCTAAGGAGTTATAGATTAGGAAACCACGTAACTTTCTATTTCTATATAAGAAGGTTAAAATAAAATACTCTCTCTAGATATTATAAGGATCTTAAAATATAATATTATATTAGGGATACCCTAGTTATAGGTGAGTAATCTTAGAGTTAACTAGAGAATAGGCTAACTCTAGTAGGATATACTAGGATACGATTATAGTAAGAAGAGTGACTAATAAAAGGCACCTTCATTAAATTATAACTAGCCTTAAGGACTATATATAATCGCCTAAGAGCTAAAAGCTAATATAATAGAGATTCCTAAGGAATACTTAAAGTATAGTAAGCTATTTAGTAGAGAGCTAGAAATAGGACTACTAGAGTATTCGCGCTAGGACTATAAGATTAAACTCCTCTAGCCTAATAAAGAACTAAAGTTCTATAAAGTATATCCTTAGAACCCTATATAGGACTAAGCGCTTAAAGAGTATCTAGAGGAAATATTATAAAAGGGATACATACGACTATTAGAGTCCCTAGTAGGATACCTAATCCTATAGGTACCTAAGAAAAATAGAAAGCTATAACTATATATTAACTATTAGTAACTTAACTAAATAAGATAACTAAATAAGATTATAATTAAGAACTAATATCCGTTACTACTTATTACTAAAATATAGGATAAGGTTAGTAAAGCTAAGTAGTTTATTACACTTAACTTAAAAGGAGCCTATAACCTAATATAAATAAAGGAAGGCTAAGAGTGGATAATAGTGTTTTAAACCACTAGAGGACACTATAAATACTTAGTAATGCCTTTTAGACTTACTAACGCACTTATAACTTTTTAAACTATAATTAATAACATCCTATAGAAATAATTAGGAATTTTTATAGTTATATACTTAGATAACATCCTTATTTACTTAAATACACTTAAAGAGTATAAACAACACGTCTATAAAGTATAATAAACCTTATAAGATAACCACCTCCTAGTAGAAGGAAAGAAGTGTTAATTTTATTAATATTAATAAATAGTATTTAATAAATAGTACACTTCCTAGGATATATACTCACATATAAAGAAGTACATATAAGCCTAGAGAAAATTTAAGTAATTAAGGAATAACTAACACTAATAAACCCTAAGGGAGTCCTATTATTTACTACTTTTATAAACTTCTACTATAAATTCCTAATAGGATATAGTAATATAGTACGACCCCTTATAGACTTAATAAAGAAAGACACTAAGTTTAAATAAGAAGAAGCTAAAGCTAAGGCATTCTAAGACATTAAGGACCTAGTTATAAAAGAACTAGTAATAAGGACACCTAACCTAGAAAAACCCTACGAAGTTAAGACTAATGCCTCTAACTAAGCACTTAGTGGATAACTAGGATAATAAAACGAGTAAGGGAAGCTACACCTAGTTATATTCTTCTTATAGAAACTCTATAGACCTAAA